AAAGGTCGTTCATTTGCTGTCGGCAACCTCGTTCTAGGCAGAAAACAGAAAACCGAAGGGATGCACAAGCTCTCCTCCCCCTGGGAAGAGTCTTACATGGTCAAAGAGATTACCCGACCAGGGTCTTACTGGTTATGTGACTTGGACGGAATCGATATCCCCAATTCATGGCACATCGAGCACCTTATACGTTTTTATCCTTGAAATGCTCTAGATATGTATTCTTCACTCCATAATGAATGAAGTTTTGGTTGCCGTAATTTGTCTCCATTATTTCTCCATTACGATTTAATCTCCATTTGCAGTCGCCAGCTCTAAGCTACTCCTTAACAAACTCCAATACGTGATCTCCATAAACTCTCCGCCACGTTTCTCCATATCTCCAAGATATTTCACCAACCGTCGAGCAGCACACGTTCCGCTCTATGTTCTTTGGAGAAAACCCAGTCTCCAATCTCTCCCTACATGTGCTACAGGCTCCGCGCTCTGCGTTATGGGTGGTCAGCTGCGGTTCCTTGGTCACGTCTGTTCGTCCTACACATGCACGGGCTCCGCGCTCGACGTTATGGAATATAGGCTAGCCAAGGCCAAGAGCTCAGTAACGAACTAACTGCTCCGACGCTACTTATACTACATATAATCGTGTCAGGGTTAACACTACAATGATTTTTCACCGAAAATACTGGCAAACTGCATAAACATGCACATGTCACTTTACAACATTTATACACATACATAAATGATTGTCTGCATCCTCGCGCGTTTTAACTATCCTCTCTAGCTATTACAGATCACTCTCCAAGTAGGTCATTATGTTTGGCTCTCCCCGTCCACCTCGCCGAACAGGTCGACGTCGCCGGCCAGCTGCTTCGCCGCGTCCTCCACCTTATCTTCCAGCTCCTGCTGCTTCGTCGCACCAGTGCCTCTGGCAAATCTGGCCCCTATCGCTCGGAGATCAATGGTAGGGTAATGAGACCGGACTACTACCAGGGCATGGGTCATGGCGGAGACAGTGGCATCACAGTTGAAGCTTTTGAAGTTCTCCCATGCCGCCTTACACCTGTAGATGATGGTGTCCGGATGAGGCGACCTGTCGTCGGGTTGAGGAGCTGCCTCCATGTCGATGCAGTCTAGCACCGGCCAAACTCCGGCCACCACAACGTCAAGCTTTCTCCTCTGAGTTTGCGCCTCCTGCTTCAACACGTCGAACTAGGCTTTGGTCTTTTGACGGTATTCTATAGGCACCAAAAGGATCTGTCAAACGAAGAAGTCACTTCAGCAATACCTCCGACCATGAAGTACTCACCTTTCAGCTCCTCAACCAGCTTCTCTGCTCGCCCAGATGCTTTCTTCTCCTCCTCCTGGAGTTGACCAATGACTTGGCGCAACCGACCGAGCTCCGCGTCTCGCTCTACAACCATAATGGTCGTCAGCAACAATAAGATTGTTCAGCAATGCAAAGCAAAATTCACCGATTCGCCATACCTTTACTCTGCTCGGAGATGTTTCTGAACTGCTCGGATTTGCGTTCTAGCTACTCGGAAAGACTCGTCAGCTGCTTGGAGCTACGTTCCAGCTGCTCGAAGCTGCCCCGCAACTGCTCGAACACGGTCGCTAGCTGCTCGGATAGGATGCCCTTCTGGTATTCTAGATCCCGCGCGTTAGATTCTGCAAGATCCCGCTCGTGCTAGGCCCTCTGGGCGTTTTTCTCCATAAGCTTAACCGCCTCCTTTAGTTTTTTGTTCTCCTCGGCGAGGGGCTCCATCCTCTTGATCAGCTATCACCGTTTTTCGGTAGTTCATGCTATGCCCTGCACAAGCAACAAGATTATGAAGAGCTCCAATCTACGATGACACAGACAGACATTGCCGACGCAATACTAACCTTGATCTGCTTCATTGCCGTGGAAAGGGTGGACTCTAGCCTTCTGACTTCCCTGGTGGTGTCCTCCTCTTCAACCACCACAACTTCATCGCCTCGCTTGCGGAGGATCCGGACAGCTTGAGGTCGAGCTTCCTCATGCTCAATCTCTTCCACTTCGTCTTCCTCCATAGCTGGTGGCACCACCAGGGGGCTCAGTGGCTGCACAACGTGTTCGCCCACGCCCTCCGATGCCTCAGGAAGTGCCGTCTGCTCCTCTGGCTCCACCAGGTTCTCCGCTCTAGACTCCAGCGCGGCGTCGACAACTCCAGCATCCGCCTCTAAAGACCTGGCGGCTCTTGCCGTTGCCCCAGGCACCGCCATCGCCTTGTCCGCCATCTGCGGCAACCGTTCTCCATCGCCAAGTCCATCAACAGCGGCGGTTGACTCCTCCGTAGGCCGCCGAGCACCCAGGGACTCCGGGATGGGTTCTGTCGACATTACCTTCACGTCGGGACCAGCCCCCGGCTGTTCGCCAATTTGGACGGACGGATTCAGATCCTTCGTACGCCTCGCTCTACATCAGATTAGCTCGTCAATCACCGCAACTATAAGGATCCGACAGCAAGCTGAATCCAAGGAAAAGAAACTTATACGTCGGCCTCCCGGTACACTTTTCTGAACCGGCGCTGCCTACCCGAGCCCCTAGGCATGGCCGTGGGGGCGACCCACGTGCCCTGGGGTGGAGGTCTCGTGGCCTCTGCCGTTGGCCTCTCTTCCGCTTGTTGCTCGGGGACTTCCTTCGCTTGCTGCTCAAGGACTCCCTTCGCCTGCTGCTCGGGGACTCCCTTCGCCTGCTGCTCGGGGATTACCTCCCTGCCTTTGATTGCACCTCCGCACGCGTGTTGCGTGGAGGTGCTTCAGTGCTCGGCGGAGGAGCCATTGGAGCCCCATCGTCATCTGACCAATCGAACATCGCCGCACTCTACGTCTGAGTGGTTCGGTCGCCGCCAAGCGAGATGCTGCCCGGCTTGCGGGGAGCAGCACCCGTCGTCTTCCTCTTCTTCCGGGCCGGCTCATCTGCCGCTGCCCTCTTCCCCCAAACTTTCTCCGACACGGGGGGGGGGGACTCTTCGTCCGACCAGCGTCCGCGCCTCTGGACTCCGACGAGGCGCTGACGGCTCCTTCCTCAGGTTGAGTTGTTGGCCGAGCGTCCACTGCCTTCGGCCAATCGCTTCTAGGCACGCCTGAGAAGTACACAGCTCGTTCCTATGAATGAATCTTTCCACAAGTGAATTAGTTCACTGCTTGGCAATGGTACAGGATAAAAAAGGATCAGGAACAAACAATTAGTCATACAGCGCGTGCTGCTGCCCGGCTGGCGTGTCCGCGCCCGCGCCGGAGGCGATGAGTATGTGCTCTAGGATGGCCTGGTCCAGCTTCATGCCGATCCGCTTCTCCATGTTGGCCCTGCAGAAGTGCAGATGCTGGACACGGACACCACCATCGCCGTCTTGAGGAGCCCCGAGAGGAAGGCCATTGGAACGGGGCTGTTCTTGGACTGCGCCGGAAGCCGACCCACGACGGCGCGCTGCTTCTTGACGGCGCCGGCGTCCGTGTCCGCCGAGCTATAAGAAACCCCAAGCTGATGCCCTCCTCGATATATATCTCCCTGTTCGCTACCACCACGCGCAATCCTCTTCCTTTTGTCCATCTCCTCTCTCCCGATCTCAGGCAAGGGCCGTGAGGTTGCCTAGGTCAAGGCCGCAGCTGCCGCGGCTAGTTGCACCTTTTCCGTTCGTGCCTGGGAGCAAGACGCCGGGTGTCGAGGAGCGACCACCACTGCGATGTCCTTGCTGAGCCAAAGACGACGAACCCTGAAGCTGTGCGCCCTGGTCGACCGCCGTCCATCATCTCCATGCCGAGGGCGCTTCGCCGAGCGGCAGTGGGAACAAAGCCACATCGCATGTCGCACGGGAACCCGCGTTGTTCAGCTCTCCCTCTCCTCCGTCCCTCGGCATCGCCTGCTCGACCGGACGTCGCGGCCCTGCCCCTTCTTTGCTCGCTTCCTCGCCACAACGTCAGCCTCATCGATCTACAACACGTCGTTCCGTGGTGGAATATAATCAAGCGAAATAGCAATGCACGGAACCGAAGAGGGGAAAAACCACTACAGTGTATCTCCACACCGTATTTGCGCCAGTCTCAACCGCGTGCGCAACAGACGGCTGCAGAATTGCTGTAGCCGAGCCACTTTAGGATTATTCGTAGGTTGGACAAAAATTTATTAGTGGCAAGAAATTTTGCCTCTTTAGTATTAGATATAGATATCTATTTTTTATTTTCATTCTTTTCTATTGTAAAGGTATTCATCAGAAAGACAGAAACTACAACCCGTCAAACCCCTACATGCATCGGCAAGTTGTGCAAATACTTTCCTCTATTGCAAAGGTATTCATCAGAAAGACAGAAACTACAACCACCATATGAAAGAAGACGCGTTCTACTTTTCTCTGGCAGGGGCCAACAACCCCTACCTACATGCATCCCAACTCCACCATTTTCAAGCATCAAACTGTGCCCCAACGTCCTAATGATTGCCTTACTAAAACGTTGCTGTGTCCTTACTGGCCCAAGAACGTTGAGACTCGTTCTCCGTGCTGTTGTTCCTCCTCCACGATCTCCCTTTGGCTTCAAGTTTCAGAAACCCTTACAACGATGTCTCTCCCGCAGAGCAGCGTGTTGCTTATGCCGTTCAGATCCTTCTCTCCAAGCCGATAGATTGTGGTGAAGGATTTTGAAACTTTCACAATCAGGTGCGCTTGTTGTTGCTTTATTTTATTCCCGACGTGGCTTCTGCATTGGCATTTGGTCTTGGCCACGTTCAGAAGAACAGAATCCCCTTCGACAAGCTTTGACCTGTAAGATACATTGCATGCCTACAGTTGTTCTCCGAGACTCCGATGGAGGTCTCGCTGATTGATTGGAAATGTTTAGCTTAAATCATGGCGCATTTCGTAATTTCGATTGATCAATTCGCAGCATGTTGACATTCTGAAAGCCTCCGAAGCCTGAAACATTCCCCCGGCCCCGAGCCTTCCTTGACCAATCTCTGAACCTTTCACAGGAAAACCACGACGATGATGGAGTCGGGAGAGATCAAGATGAGGTTTGGCCGGTGCCCATACTGCCGGACCATGATCTACCAGAACCCTGAAGCGGTCATCTTCTTCTGCAGCAAATGCCGCACCCCGATCAGAGGTGCCACGTACTGTAATTTAATCCTTGAAAACATTGAGTTTTTTTAACCATTTTGTGTGCCTGATCAGATGTGTGCTGCTTTCTTGCTTCTCTGCATCTGCAGGAAAGAACCCTGTGCCGACGGAACAAATCGACCAGGCCCTGAGCAGGCTTGAGATCCTCTCGGTGGACACTGTCGGCGTGCTCCGATGAACTCGATGCGGCGTGCTCCGATGAACTCGATGCCTGTCACAGCAAGCTTGCTCCGGGTGTCGACATCGACGGCGATCAGCCTCCGTTATTCCACCAGGACATTATTGCACCTCCGCGTTCCTCCTCGCCGGCACCAGATGGAGGATTCGGTTCAGTACGGCGGCGTCATTGTCTTAACAATGGCGCAAATAGTGGTCCTCGATGTGACGATGGCTTCGTTGACTCAAATGATCAGGATAGGCTCCGGCCGTTCTCCCGACGAACGAGGCGCCCGTCGGGCTCTGACTCTGATTCCAGCGTTCTGCGTTATGGCATGCTGATGATAACGGATTCGGAGGCCGAGGAAGGGTTCTCTTCGCCGAGGAACGCGTGCGAGCGGCAGCTCCGCCGCCGCCGGAGATCGCTCCTGGGATCGCAAGCGTTCGAGACATCGATCGCCTCGTCTGGACAGGAGCCCTATGGCGTCGTCGCGCCGTCGCCGCTGCGGGGCCCGGCGTTCAACAACGAGCTGCTCAACGCGCTGGACAACCTCCGAGGCCTGATCGCCGCTATCGAGCCGGCGTCAAGCAGTAGGAGAGCGTCTGCGCCGCACGACGCCCATTTGTTCCGCCGGCTGGAGTCGCAGCTCGCGCGGGCGTTGCACGTCGATGGGCGCGGTCACCGCCGGAACGCGAGCAGCACCGGCTCCTCGTCGTCGTCCTCCGGCGGCTACCGCAGCGAACGGCGGAAGAACCACTGCCGCCCTGTCTTGGGCGGCGCGCCGTTCCTAGTCTGCGGCAGCTGCTCCGAGCTGCTGCAGGCGCCGGCGACGACGGGGCTGCCACGTGGAAAGGTCGTCAGGCTGCGGTGCGGCGGGTGCGAGGACATGCTTGAGATGACGGCGGTGACCGCGGGTGCCGGTGGCTCGGCGCTGCACAAGACGACTCGGGCGGACCCCGGCAGTTGCAACAGCGGCGCGTGTGGGGACGGTGCGCGTGCGCAGCAGCTGCCGCCACAGCCGCTGCACCGCGCGTTGGGGTACAGTTCACCGAGCCCGCTTCTGCAGAGCCGGCGCTACTGACCGATTTGGAGGGGTTTTCACTTTTTTTTGCTTTTTCCCAGCATTGATATTTTGGCGCTAAAGGTTCTTATATCTTATATACTTTGTTGCACAGTATCTTAAATGACTTGTAGTTTGAAGATTTATGTAATGGTCGCGTATCTATCAATAAGTATTGAAATTAGACTTTGTACCGTTACTAAGCACACAAATAATACACAAACTGTACTTCGAACTCTTATAAGCACGGCACATGAGAGGCACAAGGGTAGTGTGTGAAGTAAAAAATAATATACGGAAGAACCGTTTGCTTTATAATAGTACGGTACAAATATAGATATAGACTAGCATACATGTACATATTTTACAACGAGACATACATTTTATTACGTGGCCACATTTATAGAGCTAGCTATCATGTTGGGTTTGGCTCAACTTTATTTTAATTAAATCTTAGTTCATGTAATAAATTAACTAGAATAAAAGATTAATCTTGTATGAAAAATTAATTGTAGATTGACACAATTTAAATAGGTGGCTATTGTTTATATTTGTTGTAAGGTTAAGAAGAAAGGTAAAAAGGTTAGCCACACGTATGTGTCAAGTCGTGATGCTTATGGGCCTAGGTTTAGCCGACTAGGCTATGATATGTCTACATAACTGATACGGCGCCAGTGAAGGTTCGATGACTCCAAATTGGATGAGAGATGACGAACTAAGAGATAAAAAAAGAGATGTGAGTAAAGGACGACCGTAAGAGCGAAAAGTGTCAAAAATGACAAAAGAAGAGAGATGGAGTGAGGAATGAAAGGGAGGGAAAAGAGAGGTAGTAAGTGACGGCAGTGAAAACATAAATGGTTGAAGTGAGCGATGAAAGAAGAGAGATGAGAGTGAGACATAACGGATCGAGATGTAAAAGATTTTTTACTTTAATATTATATATAGATAGATAATAACACAAAACAAAAAAAGAATGTTGTATTATATTTTTTTGGAATTTTTTTGCCACATCTGTGCATCTCGTTGATCCATTTTGCTTTCCATGTGGTGCTAGATGGATCGGTAACGCTCCTTATAGGACCTCGCTGTGTCGCCAGCTCGCTCTAGGTGCCGCGCGCCTCCGCTCGCGGGATAGACCCTGCCCGCGTCGCCCGCCCGCTCTGCGTGCTGTGCATCCTAGCTCGCGGGACAAACCCCACCCTCGCCCGTGCCGTCCCCGCACGTGCCGCGTGCCCCCGTCCGGACTTGCACCTCCCATTGCAGCCACGCTCCGTCTGCCTGCCGTGGCCCCTGCCGAGGTCCGTGCTGCCGTCGAGGTCCACACCGACGACCTCCGCGCCACTCCGTGGCATCGAGCTCCACGCCAGCATCGAACTCCGCGTCGACGAGCCTCCATTTTCGTCCAAGCAACAAGTATATGTTGCGCTTGAAAGCGCATGTTGTAAGTATTTGTTTCAAGTGTTTCAGAGGTATGTTGGTTTTATATGGATGTTGCAAAAGTAGATCGAGATGTTGCATATGTTGCAATGGTTGTACATATATGTTGCAAGCTTTTGTTCTCAATGTTTCATTTGTTTTTTTAGTCGTATGTTGCAAGTGTGTTTATCTAGATGTTGCATATGTTTCACACATATGTTGCAAGCTTTTGTTCATAATGTTTCATCTGTTTTTTAGACGTATGTTGCAAGTGTGTTTATCTGGATGTTGCATATGTTTCACACATATGTTGCAAGTGTTTTGTCTGGACGTGGCTTATGTTTTACAATGGTTTTCAAGTATTTTTTAATGTTATTTATAAGTGTTTCAAATGCATGTTTCAACTGTTTCATTTGCCTTTAGATGTATGTTGCAAGTGTTGCATCTGGATGTTGTTTATGTTTTACAATGATTTTCAAATGTCTTTTTAATGTGTTTTTCAAGTGCTTCAGATGCATGTTTTAAGTGTTTCAAATGCATGTTTAAGTGTTTCATTTGCCTTCAGATATATGTTGCAAATACTGCATCTTAATATTTTAAAACTAGATCGGGTGTTGCATCTCCCTCCTCACTTTCTGCTGCCTCGCCTCGGTGTCTCCTCCTCCTGGCGCCTGCTGGACATCTGCCGCCCCTCCCCTCTTTCTCGATGCTGGTGACGTTCAAGGTGGCACGGGCCCCTCGTGGACGCGTGAAACGGCACGGGAAACGACTATAGACATGGGCATTTAGAGGCCCCATTCGTCCAGATGACGCTAGGAAGCCCGTGGATGGATTAGTTGAGAATTTCCCAACGAGAGACCATGCTCGTGTAACATGTTGCACCTCCACCGAAAATAGAGGCCCAATGGACTGCGTTATCGGCTTTATACTAGACATAGGAGCCCACGCCAATTCGAGGCTTTTCTGCTTAGCCCATGAACTATGACTAAAGTTTGCCCTAGCTAGCCCGATTCTATATAAGCAACCGATGTGCTAGTCAGTCGTTTACTCTCACAGGCCGCCGCTAGCCTCCATCCTCTGAGCCCTTCTCCTGCGCACTTCATCAGCGATTACTCTAACCTGATCCATTTCTTAAAAGTTGGGCATATAGTGTCCACTCCACCCCCAAGTCTTCCTCTCTTCCTTTTCCCCTTGCTACAGTTGTCCAAGGCGAAAATGAGGCAACGAGAGTTTTCGGCGGCGATTCTGCCAGCCCCTTCCCTCTCCGGTGGCCGGTTAGGCGCTAGAGATGGAGGTGGACCGGGGAATCGGCGTGCGGATGTACATAGGTTAGCTAGTTATCTATCTAGACCTAGGTTGTGCTCGCTGTCGGTTCTCGTTGGTGGAGCTAGGGTTTGCCGGGTGGATGATAATCCTCGGTGCCTTGCTTTTCCTGGCAGCGTCGGTGAGGCGGAGGCGGTGATGACACATGAGAATAACTTCTCCCGGCCTTTTCCTCGCATCGGTGACGTTCTACTTCGGCGTCAACGGCGAGGTCGCGGAGAGCTGTACAGGACTCGGAGCTGGCCGGCGTGGTTCCGGTGGCTCTTTTCTTCATGGATGCAGAGGAGGCTATGGGTGCCGCGGTTGGAAGGTGAGTGGATCGAACTCAAGGTCCCCTCGGCGTCGGACGGCGGCCGATGGCGAGCTTCGATCTAGGTTCAGAGAAGCTTGGGGTGCGTCCCCGACCAATGGATTGCAGCGACTACTGCAGCTCATGTCAAAGCCTTTGTGCGAAGGAGCTTCTCTTGATCCAGGGCCATGGCGGCTTCGTCGGCGGCGGCAGTTGGCGACGGAGACCTCTAGAGTTTTCGGGATGCACAGGGTCCAGGGACCTTAATGCAATTTCTATTTTCTTTAGGGGCCTTTGTGCTAGTCAGTCGGGACAGCTGTCCCTGTATCTTGATTGTACGTACCTGTATTTGCACACGTCCCTGTATGTTTTCTTTACCTAGAAATACAGATACGTAATATAAAAAAAACGGATCCATTTCTCTGCCCCATCGCTCCTCTTTGCTCCACTTCCGTTTGTCACTTTGTCTGGATCTACCTAGCTGCAGTCTGTTTTGTTCTTTTTGACTATTTTTTTTCTGTTTTAGTGATGGATTTGGAAAGCGAGGTGTGGCCGTGTGATACTTGACTGGCGAAGTGATCACACGGCTACCACCGCAGCTCTCGAGCTCTTTCCTACAACAAGAAAACATAGGATTTAGGGAAATTTACATATTTACCATTATAACGATCGCCACTAGTCAGATGAGAGAAGAAATCTTACAAGTTTACCAAAAATGGGAGTTTTTGTGTGCGTGGCGTGTCAGGTCACGATGCCAGCATGGACACGCATTGCGAAAAGACGAAGTTGCCCCTACCCTGCTCCTCTCTCTCCCTCCCTGACAGCCGGGTCCCGTAGCTCCTCTCACTGACAGGTGGGCCCCGCTCATCTGCTTCGTCTCCCACCTCCAGCACGAGCACTACGACACCTCTCCCTCCCCGTTCCCCTCGCCACCGCCTGGATAGTTCCCCTCTGAGAGATCCTGGGCCCTGGCCCCCTTCCTCCACCCCTTCAGTCTCCACCTCGCAGCAGTCCGTCCCCGTGCCGTTGGCGCCATACCCCCGGGAGGTCCCCGCCACCGCAGCCGGGGCGGCGTGGCCAGGAGCAAGCGCGGCTGGCGGTGCTTCTGCGCGCGGTAGACGAAGGCGAGCGCTACCTGGCGCGGGCGAGGTCGAGTGCGACGCGGCTGGGCGTGCTCGGTGCTCCTACGCGCGGCGAATGTAGGCGAGCGCGTCCTGGCGCGGGCGAGGCCGGGGCGGCGTGGCTAGGCATAGGCGAGGCCGGGCGCGATGCGGCCGGGCGTGCTCCTACACGCGGCGGACGTAGGCGAGCACGGCCTGGCGTGGGTGAGGCCGGGGTGGCGTGGCCTGGTGCGGCCAGGTGCGACACGACGGAGCGTGGCTGGGGGTGGCGCGTCCGGCGGTGCTCCTGTGTGAACGAAGGCGAGCACAGGCTGTCTCCCATAATTGTGCCGGAGGTGGGAGACGAAGCTGACAAGTGGATCCCGCCTGATAGTGAAAGGTGTTGTGGGACCCAACTGTCAGAGAGGGAGAGATCGAGAGGAACAGGGCAGGGGCAGTTTCGTCTTTTCGCAATGCGCGTCCACGCTGACGTCGTGACCTGGCACGCCACGCACGCCAAAACACCCATTTTTTTTAACTTGTAAGATTCTTCTCTCTCGTTTGTTATATATGTAATTTTCATCCTAAGAACGAGAAACGGACGAGTGGATATCGTTATAATGGTAAAAATGTAAATTTTCGTTGGATTTAATGCTGTCTGGCCGTTGCTAATGGCCCTCCGGTTTGTCTTTTCTGTGACGTTCCTTTTTGTGAAGAAACATTTTTTTAAACGAACTGACAGAATCGAAACTCGTCACTTACAATCTCCAATTTCTGTCATACTGATTTGGATCTCTTCGACAGAGCAATAAAACAAGTACAAAGAACGAACTCAATTCGCCAATTTTAGCTACTGCAAAGCTTCGTACGGGTTTGGTTTTGAGATCTGAAGT